AGAAAGAAAGAAAGAAAGAAAGAAAGAAAGAAAGAAAGAAAGAAAGAAAGAAAGAAAGAAAGAAAGAAAGAAAGAAAGAAAGAAAGAAAAGAGTAGTGAGAAAGATGAGATGGTATGATGCGTTTATTTTTAAATTGGGGGCAAACAAGAATGCCTTACATGTAAAGGCACTTCCAGAGCAAGCCTGGCAACCTGAGTTCAGTCCCCAGAACCCATGTAAAGGGAGAGGGAGCGAACTGACTCCAAAAAGTTGTCCTCTGACCTCCACGTATGTACCATTGTATGTGTGTCCACAAGCACACATGATAAAATTTAAAAATAGAAAGTGGGTGAGAGTCGGGCAGTGGTGGCGCCCGCCTTTAATCCCAGCACTCGGGAGGCAGAGGCAGGTGGAGCTCTGTGAGTTCAAGGCCAGCTTGGGCTACAGAGCAAGGTCCAAAAAAGGCTCCAAAGCTACACAGAGAAACCCTATCTCAAAAAAAAAAAAAGAAAGAAAGAAAAAAGTGGGTGAGAAGAGTATCAGGTTCTTTAGGAGACTGAGGAGTTTGATGTTTATTCCCATTAAAGTGGAAAAGCTGCTAGAGAGTTTTTAGGCTGAAGACTGATACTGTCATACTTTCAAAAATCAATTGCCGCTAGAAATCAGACTGTTTGGAGATATGAGGAAATGAAATGTGGACATTTATAACAAGATGTTGGGGTTTTAGGCCAAATAATGAAAATTAGAAGGATTCTGGCTAGTTTCTTAGAGCCAAAAGGAGTTCTTAATGAGGTGTGTCCAGCAAGAATCAGGGTTTTCAGCTTGAACAACTAGGTTAATGGAGGTGTCTGAGACTGAGTAACTGCAGGAGAATCCAGCTTGAAAAAGGACTTGGGAACTGTGCTGTGCTGTGTCAGGCACGAACAGAGACAGAGCTGCTATTCCTCTACACCAGTCTTAACTCAGGGGAGATGGAGCCTAGACATTCACATTTCGTCTTGATACTACTGTATGAATCAACTAAACAGTGAGTATAGATAAAATGAATTAGGAAGGTATTTAAAATAGTAGCTCTTGAAAAATGGAAATGACGTCTCATGGACACTGTAAAAGATGGCTGAAAGATCTTAGTGTGACTCTTAGAAGGAAAACAAGCAGGCAAAGAGCAAGCTTCCATCTTCCGTGTCCTTTATTTACATAGGCTTCCAGAAGAAGGCATGGCCCAGATTAAAGGTGGATCTTTCTACCTTGGATCTGAATTAAAAGTAGGTCTTGCCACTTTAAATGATTTAATTAAGAAAAAAAGTGGGCCTGGAGAGATGGCTCAGTGGTTAAGAGCACTGGCTGCTCTTCCAGAGAACCAGGGTTCAATTCCCAGCACCCACATGGCAGCTCACAACTGTCTGTAACTCCAGTTCCAGGAGATCTGACACTTTTACACCAATGCTCATAAAATAAAGTTAAATAAATTTAAAGAAAGAAAGAAAGAAAGAAAGAAAGAAAGAAAGAAAGAAAGAAAGAAAGAAAGAAAGAAAGAAAGAAAGAAAGAAAGAGAGAAAGAGAGAAAGA